CATAAAATGTCACAATATAACATGTTTCCACGATGAGGTCTTTACATTAGTTGTGTTCTGGGTTTCTGGGTTTTAGAACTAATCAATGTTTTGGCATTTTTTTAGATTAATTACTCGTCCATTGTGGATTGATAGACTATAACAATATATATTTGTCTACTATTCTACTATTGTGTGCAGTGTTTTAAATCTATGAACAAAAAAACTGCTTTGTGGCAGCAATATCACATTTTTATTTTGGCATCATAATGATGAAGTACCTTAATGTGTCAGGCACAGTTACTGCTGGATTAGCAAAAAACTTTTTCCGCCATCTCAAATCAAATGTCAAATCGAGCGACTCATTTTTTCAGACCTTAATTATTCTTACAATAACTACTTTTCTGGTTCCTTGGAGGGACATATCATCATCTTCTATGCTGATAACTGCAAACTTATTAGTAAACAGCGGCTTATGTACACATACAGCACCTGTCCACCTGATAGATGTTAAGTCCGATATTAACTCTCCTTTTAGCTCCGTTTTTGGTCTCCACCAGCTCCTGAGGGAAATATCTGGCTGTGTGAAAAGTTAGTTTAAAGTTAGTTTAAGTGTTTAGGAGAAGACCCGCTCCCTCTGTAGATAAAGAGAGCACAGTCAAAGGTAACAAAGACACAATGAAAACATATCTATGAATATTATATTCCATTTCAGCCTAAAGATGCTCCTAAATGTTACACTCTTTAAATAATATGTCACCAAAGCGGACAGAAGTCCACATCTGCTACAAAGACATTAAACATGCTAGTGAAGCTAAACAACTCCCAACTTCATATAATCAAATGCAATATTAACTGCTGATCTTAAATATTATGTATACTCTGCATGATAAAACATACCACAGGCAGACAATTCAAAGGGCAAAAAAACATGTTGCATTTGCTCTTATCACAGCTCTGTGAACAGGCTCCTTTCATACAGTTTTTTCCAAATACATAATCGCCTGCAACTGGTCAGCAGCGTCTCAGGATTCTCTGGGCCACGTGTTTGCATTTATTTTCTTTGTGTATGCCACATTCCACCCAACAACTCTTTCCTCGTCTCATTTAATGGAATAGTTAGCATAAAGACTGAAACAGGGGGGAACAGCTAGCCTGGCTCTCTACCTCTGAAGGGGACATTAAAGTACATATATTTGTCAACCAGGTCAGATTCTTTATCATCCCTCCAAAGCCGTACGAGAGCCACAAATGTTTCATAGTAAATATTCAATCACTAAGTGCATTTTTGGAAACTACAGCTCTACGGTATGTCTTTGTTTGTAAACTAGCAGTAATAAACGGTGTATTTAATCACTTAATGAAAAATAATTAGGGATAAAATATCCCATAACATATTAAAACATAATAAAATTCCAAGAAGAAAAGTTTGTGAGACTTTTTTAAAATCTTTGTCTTATGGACGACTCTTTGAAAAGGCACCATTTCCTCTCAGGGTCTCAGAAGTGATTTACGGTCGGGAGAAAGTGCCGGAATATTTCAGGACAAAGTTTACAACTCTATGATCGCTGTATGGATTAATAAAACAACAGAAACCTGACAGACAGACAGACACAACAAACCCTTAGCCTCGGTTCTGTAAGGGGACACAGTCACGCTTGTTTGGACTTTGTATGTGAATTGCCTGCAGTTAGAGCAACATAACCAACATCCACGTGTAATCAAGGACAACAACATCCTCGCAAACAAAGTGTGTGACCATATTAAGAGTCAGGAAGTGTTAACAAAAACAACAACAAAAACACATCATAGAGGAGCATGACGGAGCAAAAACACAGTCAGGGAAGCTTCAGTGACTACCGTCTCGTCCGACAGAGACAACAAAGCATCACCGCCCCGTCAACTTCTTCTTCCCCTTTTTTTGATTTTTACCATGACATGAATTGGATGATATCATTTGTGTGGTTTTTTTTTAAAAAAAAGAAGAGTGTATGGGGTGGCCCTGACTTTTCCTGTGCTGATCCAGGGTTGACATTTTCATTTAATGCTAACAACCTTCATCAATAATGCTGAAGTTGTCTCTCTCCTAACACACTCGCTCATTCTTTCTCCTTCTGCAGCCTGCCTGGGTTAAAAATAGCTCTCCCCTCTCTCATTCTCTGCCTCTCCGTTTACATAAGCACACAGAGGGGGGAGGGGAGCACTTCCGGTCTGGCCACCCAGCCCAGCATCTGATCCATAACACTGGGGCTGCTGGGTGTGGGAGAGGAGACGAGAGAGGAGGAGAGGAGAGAGGAGAGGAGAGAGGAGAGGAGAGATCCCGCAATGCAGGGAAGCCCTCTCTTTCTCTATTTCAATCTGTCTCTTCAATCCTTTCTCTTTTTCATCATTCGGCGTCTCCGTTAGCTTCTCGAGAGCCTCCACTGACACCACACCTCCCCACAAAAAACATACAGTATCACACACAACAAAACACCTGTGGCCATAAATGCAGTTTAAGTGACAGGACACACACACACACACACACACACACACACACACACACACACACACACACACACACACACACACACACACACACACACACACACACAGAAGGTCAGTGGTGCAAAGTACATTTACTCAAGTACATATTACTTTACGTGAGTTATATTTCCTGCTACTTTATACTACAACTCCACCACATTTTAGAGCAAAATTGTCTACTTTTTAATTCCACTTCATTTATCTGACAGCTATAGTTTCTAGTTAGTTTTCAAATTAAGATTAAACCTGAAAAAAAGCACACATAATAAGTCTATAACAGGCCATATATTGTCCCCAACCTTTTAACTTGTGGTCTCTTACAAAAAAGCAGTGTGTAGTGTTCATCAAAGAGTGAGATTTCCTTTCTAAACGTCTCAGATAGTTTCATTTAAATTATTGTTTGAGGCTGAAAGTGCTAAAACTCTCCAATATTTCCCACATACAAAAAAAAAATACTAGAGAAAAGTCCAAAATATGGAAACAAATTTGTGTAGCAGAACTTTGTTTGCTCATTTTTCCAAACCTTAATAATCATTATTAATCAAAACACATTAATCATTCACTTAGAGGAGCCTAACCCCAAGGTTGGGAGCAGCTCAACTAAATTACCTAACTTCATATGAAGTAGTCAAAACCAGCTCTACCTCGACTAGCTACATGTAATGTTACTTACAAATTAATAGATCAGTATGACGATTTTATAATGTAATAATATGTCAGTCACGGGAGCCATGTTTCTATATTTTCTGTACTTCGAGTAAATTTTGCTGTTAATGTTCATGTACTTTCACTTAAGTAGGAGTTTGAATGCAGGACTTTAACTTGTAATGGATACTTTTTACTAAAGATCAGAAAACTTCTTCCGCCACTGAATAAAGTTACATATACAAAAAAACATACGACAACTACTTCACACATGCATGTCGATGCACCAGCACATCCTTTACACAAACACACACATACAAGAGAGTCGGCAAGCCTCCGCCCTCCGAAGAACTCTGGCTTCATGTGACCGCTGCATGCCTTATAACAGAGGCAGGCTTGATCAAAAGGCAGATAAGAAAAAAAATACCAGAAAAGAAAGAAAGAAAGAGTTTGGAACAGGGGAGGGAGAGTCGGGCAGAGGAAGGTTTGGAAAGCTGAAGATTTTTTGGGGGGGGAAAAACAATTCACCAGTCAGTGACAAATAATTTCGATACGCCAAACACCGGCAATTCAGCATTCAAGAGTCAGCAGGGCTAGGACGCGATCTCAGTCGCCGTCACCAACCATACACCAATGTACAACTTTGTAACTGCTCAATACACGAAAGAACAATCTGCAATCAAGCACGACAAAATATTAAAGGCTAAATCTGGTGATAATCTGTGTTGTTCTTATCGTCAATAAATGCCATGAAAAGACAAAAACCAACACCAACAATGAACTGATCCTACTATCAAGTATTGCTTGTGTAAACAAAAGCCTGATATGGCGTCACTCTGTGCCATAGACCTCAATTTTAGCAGCCAGTCATGTTGGACTGCTAGCTAAATGCCAACATCAGCATGATAACATGCTCACAATCACACTGTTAACATACTGATGTTCGGTTATACGTTTATGCTACCAAAGTAATGGACAATTTGAAATTTTGACCTGATGAAGGTGCTGGATGAAAACTCAGAGGATCACCAAAGATATCACAAACGTATCTTGAGGGGGACTTGAACCTGTGTACCAAATTTAATGGCAAGCCATTTTATATTTATTGAGACAGTTTGGTCAAAGCCACAAATGTGAATCATTAGGATCCAACCACAGGGCACCACGAATGTCTAAATGTCATGGAACTCCATCTAATAGTTGTTGAAATATTTCATTCTGGAAAAGTGACGGATCGACCAACATTGCCATCACCAGAGCCACACTGTGCTCGACACAATGAGCCACACTGTTGCACTGGGTGACATGTTTCTACATTACAATGGACATGGAAACTGTAGTTTATTCTCAGTTAATCCCACATCACTGCTGTAAATACTCACTACGCACTAAATCTGCATCTAAAAATAGTTTCCAAAAGCAACATCTACCTCTGTTTGTATAAAACTAAATAAAATATTACCAACCAACTCAAGTTGTATTACTCATTCTGATGTCTTACTAAACCAGAAACTGATTCTGATGAGGTCTATTCATAAGAAATTCCTATCTACCTACTATCAATACGCACTAGAACAAACACACTGTCATTGGAGGCAGCGCAGCATTCATTGTCACCTCATGAACTTTGACACCTTGCACTTACACGGCACAACACCCAAACGCTGCACAGTGTATAAGCTGAATGGTATGTTGTGAGTACATATGTGTGTGAACTAAAGAGTCACAGAGAGAAAAAGGAAGCATGTCTTTGTATCCGCCTGCATATATATGTATATATATGTACCTTTAACTGTTGGTGTACGTATAGGGGTGAAAAAAAGGAAGGGGAATATAAAAGAGAGACTTACTACTGTGCACAGTCGATGAGTTGATATTCGTTGGACCTTTCCCAGCAGGCCCGAACACCCTCGTCCTGCCAGAGAATCTTTGCATGGTCATAAAACTCCTGGAAAGAGAAAAAAAAAGGGGGGGGTCTTGATCAACGACATACCGCAGCTAGAAATAACTGCAAGTCAGGTTCTTGCTTTAAGGCAGACGATCCCTGAAATAAAGATATATTACAAAAAGACCTCAAGGAAAAGTGTATTAGCTCATATATTTATCTGAGTTTTCAAGGGAAGAAAAGGGAGAAGGAAAGCAGCACTGTTACAGTGAAGACCCTCTGAACACAAGGTGAAGTTCGCCCCCAATAATTTTTTTAATGCAAATGAGGGTGACAGTCGCCTGGCAGCCATTTTTTGTGTTATTTTAAGTGTTTTGCTTAAAAAAAACTGACAACAAATGAGCAATGCAGTGGTACCTGCATTGTTACAATAGTTTGTTTTAAGCAAAAAGGCCAAACACATTTTCTTTTTCCAGCTTCTTAAATGCAAGGATTTGATGCTTTTATTTGCCTGGCATGACTTGCATTTTTCAATATTTTTGGAGATTTTATTAGATATAGATACACTAATAAGGAAAATAATCATTAGTTGCAGCTCTAAAAAGCAGAGAAGAAAACAGAAGTAGTGTTAAAAAAAAGTTAGGATATAAACTATACAAAAACAAGTAATGCAGGGAGAAGTTCGGTATCTTCGGACGAGCCTATTTCTCGTCTGCATCTCCATGGGTGAAAACGTTTAAGGGCAGATGGAAGGAGGCAGTGATACTCCCTAGTGCTAGTTTGTAGTTTAGGGCCAGCTTGGAGAGGAACAGTAGATGAGCGGGCCCCGACAGAGGCAGGAAACAGAACAGTTCACTGAGTTCATGAAGAAATGGAGAGCTTTGTACTGACACAAGGCTTGGCTGTCATTACACAGGGGCCTATCTCCTCACTACGATCTTCAGTTGGTCACATACAATGCAGTCAAGCACAAATAAGCCATTATCAGCCATAGGGTTATACTGTACTGTGTATACCCTTTGAAATACTTAACTGAGAGTGACCACCATGTTGCTGACGGATAAAGAGGAGTATGGGAATGTAGACGGGACGGGGGGAGGTGGGTACACGGGACGAGGTGACACTTGAGGTCTGTTTAAAACTAGCGGTGTTGTTTTTCTTACCACAATATAAAATTGTCAAACATGTATAATTGCCTTCTATCACTGCTACTGTTAAGTACCTTAATTTGTCATTTATCTTCAGTGTCTGTAACAAGCACACGAGATAGAAGTAAAACATACGGGGGAACTGGGTTTTATTTTACAGACAGAGCTCTACTTGTCTTTATGCTGCAGGCAATAACACAGAGCAGCATAACTCAGTGTTAAGTAAAGGGAATGCAAGTTGATTTATTTAGTAAATATATATATATATATATAAGTTGTCCTTTGCTCTTAACTGTTTATTTAAAACTTTAAGTTAAAGCTAAAACTAACAATTATTTTCATTATCTGCCAATTTATTCCTCCATATATTATTTAATCAAAAAATGTTAGAAAATAGTCAAAAACGCCTTTAAAAATGTCCTAAAGCCCAAAGTGACTTTTTCAAATTCCTTTCTTTGTCCGACTGACAGTCTACAAGTATTTAGGTTAAAACTCCATAATGAAATACAGCAAATCAGCGCAACCGAGAAGCTGGAGGCAATGAATGTTTACCATCTCTGCTAAACGATTAATCGATTACCAAAATACTTGCAGATTAGTTTTTTTAAATCGATAAACTAATCAAGTATTCGGTTTCATTTGAACCATTTTGCTGCTTTTCTTTGTTTTATCACAATAAATTCAATATCTTTCATTTTGTTGGTAATTTGAAGCTCTGGGTGCTAGCATTTAAAATATAAAGTGTTATCTATTTAACAGTAGCTTTATAAAATAATGACAACATTGCTGGGGATAAAAGGGAGTCTAAATGTTTCCTGTGCAGCTTTAAAGAGTGAAACTTTTTTGTCAAGAGCTAATCAACAATATACAGAATAAGGGTTAAGTGCACTAAGATGATCCCAGGACTAAGACAAACAAATTACAAGGGCTTAACTGAAGGGCTTTAAATGTCTGATTTAGCATGTAACCATAGACTCGCTTGCAATTTTCTTTATCATCTTATCGGAAAAAGAAACCATTTAACTACTCATCAACCAAAAATGGACTGATATACAGTAGGCAGGGAATTTTCAGTCGCGGAGGTCAACAAGGTCGACTAAAGGGTATCAATCAGTTTCTCTTTGTAACTTCTTCAATTTTGGAAGTGGAAGTGTTTTCAAAATCATAAAGTTTATTCATGGCTACGTGTAAAATTCAGAGAGTTTAACTGAAGAAGAAAAAGGCTATTTCATGATGCCTCTCATGGTTGTTGTGCCGCTCTGTGAAGAGTTTAAGAATAGTTATGGCTGTGACCTCAGTGCAGGCCCACTTTGAAATCCTGTGTGAGAAACAGGTATTGCTCTAAAGACATGCTGCAGGATTATATATGAACTACTTTAAATTCAACTGCATATTTTGAGTAATCTACCAGTTGACATATTAGAGGTATACAGTCACACTATATGTGAAGGGATTTATTAAAATGTAAAAAAGAAATTAACATTTTTTCTGAGAATTTCATCAGTTTTGGAGGCAAATCTCCCTGTTTTCAACTCTCTAAGACCTCAGAACTAGAATCAAATGAAAGTCATGTTCAAGATTTTAAAATCTACGCTACAAAATTAATCTTTTTCCTTTTACAACATCTACTTTGTTTGCGTGGAAGAAGTATGTCTCCTTTGTTTCTCTTAATGAGGAACCACCGTTTTTTTCTGTTAAATGATTTTGTAAAATTTCTCCTTATTCAAATCAAGAAATTTCTAAGAACAGAAGTTGTTGTAAGAATTGCAAAACCCTGTGAGGCCAATTTGTGATTTTGAGCTATTTACAGTAAATAAAACTGACATGACTAACTTGAGTACAATGACGTGTCACTGTACTGTATTGCGCTGGGAGCAAGGGAGCTCAGGACAGGTGGGCATGGCAGTAATCAGTGTGCAGGGAATTAAAAGGCCTGAGTAAATAACGTCAGTAACGATTTTTTATCTTACATAAAGGCGTGGTCCTTTTTATTATTAGCATTTTAGGAGAATGTGAATAATAACTACGAGGATTACTGGTTAGAAACAAAGCTCAAAAAGGAAATCAAGACCTGAGTATGGAGATTCAATCCTTGTGCTTATTTTCTCTCTCTCCCTCTTCCTCCTCTGCTGAAGGCAGAGTCAACCAGTCAAACTGGTTTCCAGTAGGCCCGAAGGCCAGGCGAGGGGGGAGCGGGCTGAGGAGGAGGAGGAGGAGGAGGAGGAGGAGGAGGAGGAGGAGGAGGAGGTGGAGGAGTTGGAGGATAGGCTGAGTCTATCAGATACTTTGTACCGTGTTCCCTTTCCTGAACAAGCACCCATTCACTTCAACGAGCAAAATCAGTTAACTTTTTGCTTCTGGGAACTGATGTTGTAATTAAACGTCGCTTTAGTAACCAGCTGTCATTGTGCTGCTATCACTATTTAAAATAACAGATATATTCTTGACGACTCCAAAACCCTCCACACCCCACATGGAAAAGACCAAAGAGATCAGATCCAAGTGTGGGTGCTGGTCTTTCCCTCCAACAAGACCCCACAGGTCCAACAGTGGAAGTCTAGTCCAGCCCGAGGGACGGGTCAGCTTGAGACAGGCCCGCATAATAAATTTGCCATGAAAAAACACAGACAATATCAGGAGACTTCCTTTTGCTTACACACAAATACACACACTCTTCACTGGAAACGCAGCTGCTGTGTACAAATCTACACAGTGGAAACAACCAGTTCAAACACTGAAAACTGTGAAGACACAGTGTTCTTATTCCTCTATACATAATCTTTCTCATATTAAAAAACAGTTGAAATGCTATTTTGTAGCTTCAGTTAGATTTTTCACAGTTTAGTTTCTCTAAATGTTTGTTCCACTGATTGATTAAAGCTACATATTGCTCTTTAAATTTGTGAAACACTTCAATCTGCAAACACACTTCATTTAAAATTTATATCAAATTCAAAAATCCAGATGTATTTTGCATGATTTTTAACAAATTTCCCAGTAAATCAGAATAAATCTTTGAAAAGTAGAATTGAATATTTAAAATTAAGTGTGATTTATGTGCTTGTTCACATAACCTGAGTTGATCGCAATAGGCCTGAAAATGGGTATGAAGGGTTTAAGAGATTAAAAACATCAGCATTATATTTGATGATTTATTTTCGAAAAATAGGACTGCAACTAATGATTTTCATTATCCATCAATCTGCTTTCATTAATTGATTTATGTCTACAAGACGTCAGAAAATAGAGAAAAACACTACATGGCGTAATCAAATGGCCTCTTTTGTTTGACCTGTAGTCCAAAACCACAAAATGTTCAATATGTAGTTATATAAAACAGAGAAAAGTAGTAAATCCTCACATTTAGAAAACTGTAAATAGAGAGTTTTTAGCATTTCTGCTTCAAAAAAGCTTCAAAACAATGTTGATAATTATTCAACTCATCGTTTCAGCTGAATTAATTTTATGACTAGCATTACATGTACATCGAGCGGCATATTTTTCACTGTAACAGGGCTCGGTTATGGTTACCATTTTGGACAACGGACCAATGACAGTTAATTGAAAGGCATAATCATCTGAGGGAAGGAATGCCGTACAGGAGCAGCATACTCAAAAGAGAACGAAAACCTGATTTTTATGCCCATTCTCTAGTCACTGAAGTATACTGGACCTCCTTGAGTAGTGAGTCACGTGCAAGACCATGACCTGCAGTGGCTCCCTTCCAGGCCGCCAGGAGTAGACTGCAGCTCAGGGGGAAATCCCTCTGAGTCTCTGTGTTTCTGGAGAACAGGTCCCTCTGGACACATTTAGGGTTATTACAGACAATCAGTGTTAATAGGCGGTGTGGATCTCTCAGGTGAGAGGCTCATTCAATTGACAGCCTCCCTAGCGGAAGCACACCTGCTAATTACTGAATCACTGCGCAAACACACCAGACTGCCGTGTGAGGTACCTTACTCACCTACAGCACACCTCGCCAGGGGAGCTGAGGGACTCAGCAGGCTTGAGCTAATACTCTACAACATTTAGTAGTTATAATAAGACGTTGAGACCAATTTTAACACAAAACAGTAAAACATTTAAGTTGATTTCCTTTTTCAGCTTGATTACTATTGGCCACTGTGTAAAGTCTTGATTTTAGGGCTGCAACTAATTAACGGTTATTTTCATGATTACACCCATAAAATGTCAGAAAATGGAGAAAAATACACAATTTCCAAATTCAGTTCAATATCATAGAAGAAAAAACAATTAATATTCACATATTAAGAAGCTGGAACCAGAGATGTGCTTTTTTTAACTATTACTTAAATAATTAATTGAGAATCCGAATCTCTGTCGAATCCTTTCCTGTCGATCAACAGATTTGTTGTTTCAGCTGTAATTAAGTTAAAGGAAAAAATACTGGGGTACCTAAATGGTACCTTATTGAAGAACGTTATATATTGTTGGTACGATTCATTATGAACTGCCACCGATAGTAAGATGTAACACTTTTGATGATACAACCACTTTCATGGACCTTCAGATGACACAGAGGCAAAGAGACAGTTGAAACAAACTAGTGCAGAAACCAGAGTCAGTACGTCCCCACGAGGTACGGTGCAACTTACCGAAGGAAACTCAAAATCCTTCTGGTTTACTTGGTTCAGGACATATTCGATTCGGCATTGGTTTGCAGGACTGGCTAACTGGCATGGCGGTGTGAGTGTGTTCATGGCAGCCACAATCGTCTGGATGGAGAGAACAAAAGAAGAAAACTAAATACAACAATTCACTAGAAAAAAACACAGTGCAAAAGAGTTAAAAATCAACCTGTTTTTAGTTTACATTGTCTTAATGCTTCTTTACATTTACACAGCACAGGGAGTTTCATTTCAGTGGGTTACATATTCATTTTGAAGCATTCAGAAACTTGTTGTCAGGTGTTGAGCAAAGTTCTTTTATTGCCTACATATGTAGATTTTTGTGCTCAGATATAAAATAGATAATTTATTAATTCTGACACTCTTACACAAACATACACAAAAACTTTCAGAGGCAAACAGACTGCACTGTGGTGCTAATAATGCATTTCCCTTTTTCTTGTTAAGCTTTAAAAATGAGCAAATCTCTCGTCATAATATGGTCGGAAAAGTGCTATGAACTGTTCGAGAATCACACATTTCACACTGTATCCTTCAAAATGGGCCAAAAGATCAATTTACCTCTATAGCTTCTTTAATGTTGTTTTTAATATCGTGAATTTTCTGCTTTTTCTCCCTGTGAGGAACAAAGCAAAAATTACAAGAATTAAGCATCAACTTGAGTCATGAAGTTCAACAGTGAATACCACCATCACATTGCTTAAATCTTAATAACAACTTGATTATTTCAAGTTTCTACATCAGCTGTAAATTCAAATATGGATTAAAGTAAAATGTATTTTTTTATTTAAAATCTAAACAAAACAACTTGAAAACAATAATCCTAAAGAAATGTTTTTCAGTAGGTTTTCGTAGGAATTTGCTGTGTAACATAAACTTCTCCAGGATCTCTTTGTCAGCCTGGAGGTAAATTACATCCAGCATCAGTATTATGGCTGCTCCAGATGCACTGATACCTTCATTTTGCTGACCAAGTGCAATTCCTGAATTTTGTGTACTTGCTGATACCAAATGAGAGCAGCAGAAGTTGCCTTAATTCTAGCAATGACATTTATTAAACAGAAAACAGCAGAGTAGAGGTTGTGGTTGTGGAGGACAGCACAGACTGTTACTGTACATTTCAAGTCCCAGTTCAACTAAAACCCACCATGAGCACAAAGTATAATCCAAAGCATTCGCAAATACAATGATATGCTCCGTATTTTGTCCATTTATTGTTGTAAAGACAAACATCACGGCACAATCTGTGGACTGATACCAGTAGTAAAGGTCTCTTTCAGAATCGAGGCCTGTCAAAACTTTGACAATTGAAAGTCACATTTGATAATGAAATTCCCAGAAAGAAACGACCTTAAAGCTGCTTACACAATCAGGTAACTGCAATGGTGAGATTTCTTCTGAATGACCCAAGGCGAATTATCTCAGTTTAACAGAGCAATACTAAGCATTAGCATAGCTGTGTGCGTTAACATTTGAGTGCACTGTGCAGTATATCGACATTACAGCAGCAGCCCGTCCTGTCAAGACCACTGAATGGAGCCTGTAATACTGATGTCGAGCAGAAGGATTTCAAATGAATACCATGCATGAATGTGTTTTGGTAATGAATGTGCTTTAAGTGACTTTGGTGAAAAAGTAACACCACCACTACACGATGCTATAATCAAAACTCAACCCTGACTAAGGATGTTATTGAGGACAACATAGTCTCAGCCTTGAAATGGTGTTTTTATTTTCTAGGGAGAATTCTCTCTGTGTAATTGAACATGATAACTATCTGTTATTACTGGGTGATAGTGAAAAAGTGGAATATCTCAATATTTATAACCTAATAACTCAACATCAGTCGTGTAAAAATCTTTCTGGGATTCATACTGGTGCTTTCGTTCATTTCACTGAGCTTAAAAGTCATACTGTATATGCTTAGAAAATAAACCTGAATTAACCCACATATCTCAGATTTGTTTAGTGATTAAAAAAGTTCTGGCTTTGCACTCATCGATGGCTGTTTCCACAGTCAATCAGACTATTGCAGGCGGGAATGACATATTTCTGTGCCGGAGCCAGAAAAATTGCCTTGAAAATGGTGACAAGCGTAGATGAGATCAACACAGTCGGACAGATTGTTGAGTCAACTTACAGAAAAAAGCAACTCTTGTATCTACATATTTCCTCCGCTGACGTGAAAATTGTTAACCGCTCCCAATAATCGCTTTCACGGCTTTCATGTTGAAATGTTATCAGCAGGACAGAGAGGTCACAGGCTTATGATTGATTAAAGCAAAACAAAAGTAACGTCCATTCGCAAACAGAAAATGGCCAACACGACCGTAATATGAAACAGAATATTAATGTGAAAAAAAATGAGAATTCAGTCCGATTGTCAGGAAAATCTCACATTTGTATCAATTCTAATACCGCCCTAAAAACCAAGCCATAGGATTATTTTAATACAATCAAAATACTGGCGGTTATTTGGTGCGTCTGTAAATGTATTATATTATCACATGTCATCCTGCTTTAGCCGTTACTACCAGATACAAGAGAGAGAAATTCAGTGAAACTAACATGGAGACTAACTCCGAAACGAAGTCGGAAAAACCCCGGACCTGTGATGATTATCCAAAGATAAAGGGAACAGGGCTTGTTGAACTAATTGTACTGCTGCAGTGTTTTGGGATAAATGTCAGACAGCTGATTTTAAACAATAGATTTGAAAAGATTTGTTGATTGGTAAACTAAACTAAACAACAGATCTGAAGACACCTTAGGGTCTTTCACTGTTTTTATCAATACTGAAAATAGCTGTTAGCTGTATCCCTGTATCACGGTTTACATTTTCTTGGGCCTTGATTCTCTGGTTTCTAGCAACTAAGATTAAGTTTTTGGCTAACACTAACTCAAAAGTTCTCCAACTTGTGATCCCAATTGATTGATTTACAAAACAAAAAAGCAGAGAAACGTCATCAGTTTGATTATTTCCTCAAAGGAGATGTTTGAACTTTGTAAGCGTGGCCTCAGAGAGCTTTATTTCACTCAGAGCGACCGCAGTATGACAAAGAGAGACAGACTACATTCCTCACACTAGGACTTCCAACAAAAAAAAAAAACCACCCACTTTGAAATGAACTACCATACCAGTCTCTTCTCACCTCAGCCGTACTGCCCCTCTCACCCTCCTCTTATATTACTGTGTCACTCCCCATCATCTCCTCCTGTCCTCATCCTCCCAGCACCTTGCACTGACTGGTACTGCCACTGCAGCATGAAGGGAAACCCGGCAAGGTGAAACCCTCCGGCCCAAAAAGGAGCAACAAACCCGGGAATCAAACTAGACTGGGGAGTGACAGCCGATCGTGGATTTGTCATTAGCGTCTGCGTCTGTGAGGAGCGTCTGTTCGACGTGACCCAAAAATAAGCACATGATGATGCTTCTGCCCCAAAACCCCTTTCTAGGAACCGGATGATTAAGAACAGAAAAATGTGACTTTTGTTTCCATTGCATCAATTTGGGGGTTGGGTTTTAGGAAAATTCACAAGACAGGGGGGCTTGAAAAAACCCAGGGCAATGTTTCCATGAAAACCCGAAACAGATAAAGCACTCTTCTTGTGTCACACAAACTCTGAGTATTTACTCCAAAACAAAATTACACAAAAATCTGCCCAAAACATTTCACTTTATTTTCTTCATTAGACCATGTTGGATGCACCAATAGCCCTCCCCAAATGATTAACACACTATCTAGGTATTTGGTCAACAAATATCTCCGTCTCTGATCTCGTCAGTATCACCCAATACCATTCATTAGTTTTTCACCTGTGTTCTGTCTGTAAACCACCAAAACTGTCGTGGTTTGTGATTAAATGTGCTGCCGGAGTGTGTGTGTGTGTGTTTGTGTGTGTGTGTGTGTGTGATTAACAACCGAGATACAGAACAAAACATGAAGGAAACAAACACTTACTCTGCGTTGAAGCCATTTACGTGCAATATTCGCATCTGTTTGACTATCGTGCTTTTCCCAGATTCACCGGCCCCTAAAAGCAGAAATCAGAAAAAAAAGAAGAAAAACATAAGTCAGACAGTGTTTATTAAAAACTGTACAAAAGTCCTTCAAAAAAGACGCTGACAAAAATATCCAGAGAGGGGATCCATCTGAAACTAGTGGATGATGGTTTAAAGCTTGTCACTGAATACTGGATCCAGGAAAGTATCTTTGATAAGGATAAGATAAGGCCGGTTAAAGATGAAGGGAAAGAGCTACAGATGTAATGCCCAAAGATTTTATCCATTATAAGTTAATTTAAAGTTTGTGTCTCTGCACTGCCTCAATACTGAGGACACTGTCCCTACGTCTGCGCCACCTATACTTTTCATTCCTACACGGTGCTCACGCAAAAGCAACACCACTGGAACCGAACAAGATAGCAAGACCCCAGAATAATGCATCATTATAGATTAAACCAACACTTTCCGACCATTTTAGCTTTACCTTAGAAAAGAGGTGTCTAGTTTGGGGTCCCCTGTCTTGTTACTGCAGTGGTTCCACTCCACCAAAAAAAGACATTTCCCCTCTTTAAAGAGGCCAAAAAGAGTCCAAGTATCTCACAAAAAAGCAAAACCATATGAAAAAATGAAAACTAGCTCCACCTCCACCTACTACAACACTGTAATGCGACTTGCACTGTTAAAGATAATACATCTGTACTTTTACTTAGATAGGAGGTTGAAAGCAGACTTCTACTTGAGTATTTTTACACTGTTGTATTAACACTTTTCCTGAAGTAAATTATCTGAGTACTTCCTCCACCACTGCTTCCAGATGTGAGGAGGACTCTCAGAATCAGGGACGAGGACAGGGAGAACGGTTAGGCCCCTGATAAATACTTTTAAGAATCAAGAAAATGTCATTCTCCATAATTCTGGCATTATAAAATACATTTCACACGGGAAAAGAGAAAGCGTCCCATTTGTGGCCTAGCAAACTGAATATGAAAGAAGCCCGGTCATAACAGCTCCTAACCTGGACATAAGGGGCTCGTCTACAGGCCTGCTATTGAGAGCCTACGTGTAAATGTACAAAATAGGATCAATTTCAGATTAGAATGAACGGGACAGTTGTTCAATGGAAGCCAGTAATCCTAATAGTAATCCTAATTTGCTCTCTGTACTCCAAGAGGCTTAGCAGGATACTAGCCCTGGCCTTGAGGTTCAGACTGTATCATGACATGGAGGCCTGGATGATAAAGCCAGAAATAGCTTTATCAAATTAAAAATAGTAGCCTTTTTTTAGTTATTTTTTTAACTACTGATTAGAGGGAATATCCATCTCCAGTGTAGCTGGTGTGGAGAGGATTGTGCACAGGTGAGCATTGAGTCTGAAAAACAGCATCAAACATGGAGTCCGTGGGCCTAAATAACTCAAGGTGAAGGCATCCTGGATCACACCACATCACAAATGTTTGCCGTGTGCCGTCCCGTGAGGAGAAAAAGACACAACCGTGCAAAACGCCTATTGGTGGCCTTCCCAGCCTCTGCACGCTGCCTTCACACAAACAGTGTCTGTCTGTCTGTCTGTCTGTCTGTCTGTCTGTCCACTGTCTCTCACATGTTCTGTAATCATGCTCCATAATAAAACCCATGAATGCAGGAGACAGGGCCTGCTTTTCAACTGTCTCGTGTGAAGACGCCGTAAAACCGGCGGTGTAGTGACATCATGTCATTGCATCACGTGCTTGTCACTGTTTAAAGCCTGTAAAACGTATATTTTTTAACATGTACAATCTGAAACAACAGCTGGTACGTTTAAAAAAAAAACAGGTGAAAATACACTTATATTGTTTATGTGGGTGCAACAATTCCACACAAAAAATGGACCTTCAGGCCTAAACTGAACACACGCACACACATATTGATGATACATTTCACAAAAACCTACCTAATAGTAGTAGCCGGTGAGTCGCCCTGTATATCTGTTTGTCTTTTTGGAGCTGCTTCTCTATCTTTTTGTTGGCTTCCCTCTGTGCCTTCTCCTCATTTCGTTGGTCTTCGGTCTTACTATTGCCAAGACAGCCCATCTTCCCAAAAAACCCAGTGATAGGTTCAGGAGGGGAGGCAGGGTGGGTGGCTGGTTGGGTGGGTAGGTAGGTAGGTAGGTGGGTGGGTGGTTTGTTAAGGAGGGCAGGGAGGAAGGAAGGAAGGAAGGAGGGAGGGTGTTGATCAGAAGAAAATCAATCAATCCTAAATTCCTAGACTGGCCCAGCAGAGGAACACCTGGCTCAAAATGGGTGACATTTATGATGCCAGATGCAGATGAAACAGATGTTTTAAAAACCTTGTCAGGTAGTAGACGGTGGGCTCTCCTCAACCAGGCTTTGGGCACAGTATGTATGGCTGGATGTGGCTATTTACTGGCAATGTATCAACAAGAGATCACTCAAAAAAAAAAACAAAAAAACAAAACAAATAGCAGCAGCAGAGCAACGATGCCTCCCTCTCAGACGCTTGATTCTTGTGTTTTTCACTGTAAATCCGCAATGAAGTCATCAACATTGATAGGAGAGTGGATGTGAAATTTCCAGCCTTTTGGCAATGTACATGAATGAACGTCGGTGGTCCTGTTTCCTTAATAGGTGGGTTTTTCCTTTTATCTTTTTCTTTAAAAAATATATGTATATTTGCACTGCTATTATGTTTTAATTTTCTTAGCAAATGTCTCCTCCGGAGCCCATCTTCGGCAGATATCTCACACTGCCATTCAATTCATTTCCACTCACAACCCCCGCCCCCCCCAAAAAAAAAAAAAAAAACACCTATTTTTTCTTCCTTTTCTTTCCTCCCTTTCTTTAAAAATAGATATTTTTAAGGTTATTATTTTAAGGGGGTTTGGGGAGGGGGGGAGGTTGTTTGCAATCCGTTCTCCACCTAACCAAAGCACATCAGAGGGCGGGTGAAAAAAATTAAAAAATAAATTAAAAAATAAATATTTCCTCTTAAAATGACGGCATGTGAATCATCAGGCTTTTTCTTTTTTTTTTTTTTTTTTTAACACCGGGGCTTCTTTTTTCTATCACAACCGTCTTTTAAAAAATAAAAATAAAAAATAAAATTTAAAAAAAATCCGTCACATTATATACACCGTTTTCTGGAGGTGGTCGTTGATGATCGCAACCTTATCAATAATATCCTGCTTTTTTTTTTTTTTTTTTTTTTTTAGCCGATGTCAAAATTATTTCCTCTCCTCGTCAACAGATGCTGGTGCTTGCTTTCTTTCTTTTTTCTTTTTTCTGTCGGAGGGTTTGGACCAGACTCTCCCCCTAAGAAAGGCCCTTTCTCCGTCCTTTTTCTGTGTGTAACGTTAATTTATATTTCTCCTCACATCGGGAAGCTTCTCCGTGAGACCAACCGTTGGCTTTTGGTCGTTGGCAGTTGGATGTCCTTGAATATAACGCAATATCCAGGTGATATATATATTTATATATATATATATAAATAAATATATATATATATATATAACGTGAAAAAATCCTCCCGTTATTTTCCCGTTTGGCGCAGGTACAGCCCGCTGTCAGGTCTCTCCTCGGCTTTTTGTACTCCCTTTGAATCCGTATGGTAGATTATGGTTACATGTGCATGATACATGAACATACCGCGGTGTCTTCAATCACTGGTCCAACGGCGAGACGTGCATTTCGTTCGCCGCCCAAAAAAAAGAGAGAGAGAGAGAGGCCCGCGGTCTGCTCCGGTGAACCGGTCGGGGAGATGAGAGTCGTTTCTTTTTGCGGTGTTACTCTGAATTATTTTTGCCCCCTTTTTGCTCTGAGAATTGTACATTGAGATAGATAGCGTTGAAGAGGTGGGGTGGGGCAAACGGCTCTCACGGAACCCTGGGAACGAAAACGGTGGTCAAGCGTCTCGTGACGAGGATTTCGACTTCCGGTTGAAACCTTCACAATAAAACCCCCGCCCGTGTTCGAGCTTCGTGTAATTCAGTGAGGGTGGTTTGAGGCATGAGGCTGTATGGGACGGTATAGTGACTATATAGGGTTGAATTTTCGCTACTAGAAAAAGACAAACTTCATCGTGGTCTTGTGTTTAGATTTACAATTACTTGGTATATAGGCTCTTATTATTTTATTATATCTCTTAGGCTCTTATTATATTTCTATTTTCCATTTTTATGTTTACTTTTTACCAAATGTATACACCTATACATTCATTTCTATTCTATATATTGTGTGTGTGTGTGTATATATGTATATGTAATAAAGTATTTCTGATTCTGATTCTGTGTTTATGTCATATTTCTATGTTTGGGAATTGGGTTGTTTTATTTTGTCCCACAGTTTAGTTGGATGGGGCCACATGATTCTGGGGAGATCTGACTCTGCTAAAAGGCTTTGCTAATGTTGAAAATGATCAGCCTTTTATGGCCCTTGTACTCTAGATGAATGATTTCCAACCCAGTAGGGTCAGTTTGCACAAAAAGCCTATGCCACACTTCAAATGGGTAGTTAAAATCTTCAGCATTTACAGAAATGTATCATGTGTTGGGCCATTTTTTGTTTTTATTTATGGCAAGAAAGCTTGCCAAGTAAGTTTTCACATACAAGGGATTTGCCTTGGTAAGTTGGTGCACAATAAATAAACATAGAAAAATATAAATAAAGATATAGACACAACAAAAAGAGCCAATATGTAGAAATATAAAAACTGAATATAAACAAGTGAAGAGCTTTACAGAAATGTGAAAAAATAAATAAATAAATTGACCTGAGAATCTGCATGTTAGCAGTGTGACGTATATAAGGATATTTGTAATGTGGAATGTGCAAAGATAAAATTCAACAAGCTGCTCATCAAACGTAATCATCAGCTTAAAGCACCTCATGGTTCAATGTTTCTTTTCTTATAGTAGTTTTTCTTTTTTACTTTTTATTTAGTGTTTGTTTTCTTCGTCTGAGTAACAAAACTACATCTTTGCTATCAAGTTTGCCAAGGAAGGGTTTGGCTGTAGCTCAGTCAAATACAAGAAAGACTAAAATGGCTGAAATTAGGATAGTTTATTGCAGTATTTAAGAAGGATGTTAAAGATTTACGGTGGTCTGATGCTCTTTTGAAGATTAGTGAACACTGAGCTGCATTGATTAAAACAAGCAGGTAAATACAATCAGGTTGCACAAAATTGTTGGTAAATAAACTAATGAAATAAGAAATGTTTAGGGAAGAAATTGGGCAGCACTGATTGAAACAGATTGAACCAGGTTAGGTTAGTCTTAATAATTTGAGCAGAACTACTATGTGCTGGATAGCTTTAGCTCTATGAGAAAAAATATGTTTGTAATACAGAAAAAGGTCAAGTTATATTTTGGAAAAGTTGTGGGATTTATTTGTGGACTTTCTGACTGTAGTGGAAAAATCTGAATCAGGTTTATTGCTAAGTAAGTTTTCAAATAGGAGTTTGCTTTAGTATGTTGGTGCACATTCTATATCTTGGTGTTATATTATAAATATACAATTAAAAAATGTAATACAAAATATGAAAAATATATATTTTAAAAAGAAAGAGCTACAGTAGGCCTATTTGAAATCAATATTTTATATAATAATAAATAAGATGTGCATATATTGTCATAGGACTGTAAAATGTTCACAGTAAGTATAAAGAATATGTGTAATTTGCAGAGATAATTATCCCAAAAATAGCTCCCTGATCCTTTATTTAGGAAGAGTAAAACTTACAAAACAATGTAAAATTCCCTTAAAAGTTAAAGTTAAAGTTAAGGTACCTGAGTAAATTTAAATAGATACATTTGGATTTTCTTGTTGTACTACACACATTAGTAGGCTAGATGTATAAAATCCTACTTATGTAATAATAATATCAGCAAAATGTCCCTGAGTATTAAAAGTAATTGTTATACAGAAAAATGGCTCTGGTTACTGTACTACTGTACTATACTGTGACTACCTGTAGTATAGTCTAATGGTTCCTAATCTTGGGGTCAGGTCCCCTCCAAAAAAACAAATAAAATATAACTGATATCATTAAAATGCTAATCCAGGACACTGTAAATCAGGACTACACTTTGACCTGGAGCCATAGTTTAAAACATAAAAACACTTTATTATGGCATTTTCTTTGCAAACTTATTTTTGTTCCTGTCACAACAGACACTTATAATGTAAAATGCAGTGCATATTTATATATCAAGGCAAAAATAAAAACAAATCCACAATCAAAAGGATTTTACCTCAGAAACGTCGTGCTTTTAGTTTGAAGTTCAGATTAAAGTCTTTCTGGTTTCCTCCTCGCTGCCGCTTGACGCATCTGGAATGAAGCAGGGTTAGATCACATGATTGCCCGGAGCCTCATGAAGCAGAGGTACAGAAGGGGAGAGGCGCCCTCTTTGAAGCAAAATGATTATCACCATACCCACCCAAAGGGCATTAACCAATTACACTGAAAACCTGTAAGTTAAGTTATAAAAATGATCCATAGTCGGTAAAATAAAGTAAAAACAAAAACAGTAAATTCCATCACATAAATGTTTTTTTTTATTTACCAAACCTTGTCAGTGAAGTTGTTGCAGAGGTGGGACAAAGGGTTTGTTTAAGTCTCAAGTCTATGGCTGTTACAACCTGTGTCAAGTCCCAAGTCAGGACCACAAGTCCTAAACGCACTCTTTGCCCCAATTTTTTAAAAACTGAATAACAAGTGGTAAAGTCAATTTACAGAAATAATGGAGGCTTTTTAACTGTTCTCATTTATTACTTTTAAATAAGTTTTATAGTGAAGCAAAATAATCAGGTGTACTTTGGTATATTATTTCTGTGAGTTTCAGTAGCATTTTATCAAATCTAAATCTGGTTTTGAATCAGTTTGTTTAAAAAAAAAGCTAAAACCCATGTTTTATGTGATATGGACTTGCTGTTTTATAACATACATTTTAATATTTAGTCTTGGGGAGGATATAACGTCAAAAATTACTGATGTTGGTTCGGTTGTGAGTCTTTTTTGATTGTGTCAATAAAAGTCTAAGCTGACTTGAGTCCAATTCAGGTCCAAGTCATGTGAGTCCACACCTCTGGGGCCTGGATAGGTCAACACTTGATCACCCCTCTAGCTTTAGTTATGTGAGAATAAGGCCGAAATGAATAAAAAGAATAATAAAAATAGGTGAGTTGTGCTATCTTGTTTGAATCTGATTTTATAAACTGTAAATGGAAAAGCCACAGTGAGAGAAGTGAAGTTAAAAAGTGGGATAATCAGGGTAAACAGGTAACTCATTAAAAGAAAACCCTAAATAAAACAAAATACAGGACACAAAGAGAGGCTTAATGGTTTGATGAAACTGATGATCCACATCAGTTGCCCTCACAGATCTCAACCCTTAAAGGAGATTTGGACTAGTAGAGTTCAGAGACTTGGAGAATCTATGCAAAGGAGCATTTAAGCTGTTCTGGAGGTTCACAGTGGCACAACACTACACCAAGTCACATTATGTTGGTTTTTCCTTTAATCTACAAACCCAAAGTGGGTCAGGAATCACAAATGTTTCGTTTGTGACCTGTTAACATATCTGACTGGCCAACAAGAACCTTAACCGTCCAATAAAAGGAAGGATTTTAGAAATATTGGGACATACCCACATTACAACAGCCATTAAGTAATTAGGTTCTTCTTATGTCTCAAAAGCTTGTTTTATGCTATATGTAAGGACAAACTGCAATACTATTTACTATTTAATGTACATTATATAACACCAAATATACTGTTATCACTTGCATGACAGAAACTCCATATAGGACATGTGTTAACAAACTAAACCACCTCCATTGTGTCCAAAAATATCTTTGGATAGTGATCAAGTTTAGTCCTGCTAATCTTTGGCATTATAGTAGAGTATACTTATTCTTATTTGGGTTTAAAAGACTGGAGAGTTTCCATAAACTTCTTTCAACCCCCACAGCAAGACTGTTACCTTTATTGATCGATACAGTTTGAAAAACATTTAGTATGCAATCCGGATGTTCTGTCAGCTTAACTCACCTATAATAGTGATCTGAATGTGTAAACAACTCCCTGCCTTTTTCCCATTTTATCTCTATGTGTGGAAACAGTATGCATCACAAATCAGATACAGAAACAGATCACTGGCCTGGAAAAGGGTTCGCTAAATGGCAGAAGTTTTGCCCCTTTAGCCATAATATTACTGAACAAACACCTTGGTGGCCGTTGTGTATAAATGTGCTGTTTTGGACATCTATCTTGTGTTTGTGTTGTGTTTGTATGTATATATACGGGTATGTACAGATCTATACACCCACTACTGCATGGAGCAGACAAATAGGCTGACATTCACACACTCACACACAAACACCTCCCTCACCAAATACTTCAAAAGGCAAGGGAAAAGAAGCTCAGGGCAAAACACATAAAGGTCATCAATGACAACTAAATGCTACTGTGGCGCTCTAATGAACCCCCAACAGACAACAGAAGAAGGATTTACAACTTATAAGCAAGTTAAAGGCAAAGTCCAAAATCTCTCAGAACAACAAACGCTCACACCTCTGTGACCTCATCCTGTACCTCTGTGTCTGTTAACAAACTTTATATATTCCAGGAAGTCAGTCTTCTTTTCTAAAGGCCTACAGTATCTGGTAAAATACTCAAACAGTTTTATACAGTGGTGGAAAGTAATGAAGTACATTTACTCAAGTACTGTACTTAACTGTAATGTTGTAGATGTTGTACTTTCCATTTAATGCTACTTTATACTTCTACTCCACTACAGTTTACGTCATTTTATTCTTCTGCATGTACCTGAAATTTGCAATTACTTTTCAGATTCATATTTAACAAATGTATAAGTTTATGAAACACAATGTACTGTGTAA